AAACCCCATCTCTACAAAAAATACAAAAATTAGCTAAGCGTGGTGCACGCCTGTAGTCCCAGCTACTTGGGAGGCTGAGGTGGGAGGACTGCTTTAGCCTAGGAGGTCGAGGCTGCAGTAAGCCATGACTGGACCCCTGAACTCCAGCCTGGGTGACAGAGCAAGACCCCGTCTCAAAAACAACAAAAACCCCAAAACCAAACCAAGGGAAAAGAAAACTAACAGCAAAATAAAAACCCCAAGCCCATGGAATGAAAACAAAAATGCATCATAAATACATGAAATTAGAGCAGAGCTCCGGAGCTGTGTGGGTTCTCCCATACAGAGCTTGTGGCAACGTCTGTATTTGAATATAGAATTCTATGGGGCATACCAGAGTAATAAGGCTGTTTTAGACTCTGATGAACAAAAATTTGGCTTCAGAGTTAAATATCTAAAATAGGCTCGTTTCTCTGTAAAATGAAATATAATCCCTTCAGTTCCTAGAGCAGGAAAACAAGGCATTTCTTGAAATTAAAATGAAGACAAGAAAGATTTATGCTTCCAAATGCTTTAGTAGCAATGTTTACTCTTAAACCCACACACACGTACGTACACTCAGACACACTCAGACATGCGCGTGCGTACACACACACACACACACACACACACACACGCTGCCTTGTGCTATGCATAGCGAGGTCTCTAGCTGATGCCTTTTCTTGACTTTGCTCTCCACCCCTCTGGCTGTGGTGTGTCTGCTGGAGTGATGGCCAGGTGCCTTGGGGTCTGTGTGCCATTCTAGAACAGCAAAGCAGGCACAGAAAGCAAACGCCACTTTTATGGGGGTTCCCGGGGCTCGATCAGATAGCACAACAAGGCCCTGCATTCGAGTTGCTATACCCTAACATGAAAGGTACACGCAAGATGCCTAACTGCCTTACCGCGGGTGGCGGGGGGGCCGGCCGTCCGGCCAGGCTATGTGCCACACAATCCAAAAGGGCCCGGGTTACGGAGGCTGTGCTAGGATGTGTGTGGCAGAGCAGAGAGCAGAGGCTCCTGTGCTGTGCACACTCGAGAGCTTCCTAGGAGGAGCCGTTTATCAGCTGGAGGTCACGCCCACAGGAATGCACGTAACAGTCCTTATATTTCAAGATTAAACACTGGGATTATGGTTTAAAATAATTCAGGCTAATTTTTTAGTAAGGCTAAACACACAAAAGCCACTGAAGAATAAACTTGAATAGGTTGAATACCGATTTAATCATGACCAAAACGCCCAAGAAGCTAAACTAATTGGGGAAAAGGATCAAGGCTCCTAAAGAGCACTGGCTCCACGTGAGCAGTCAGGACAGAGCAAGGGGGCCACGGCCACAGAGTCCTGTGTCTCCAAGAGAAGAGAAGAGGCCCCCAGACACCCCTGTGTGAGAGAGCTGCCGGCAGGGACGGTGAGCCGTCAACCTCTACTTTCTATACCAATTCCAAAAACTTAAACCACTTACTACTGTTCATAAAAAGCTTTTACAATTATTTGAGTGAAAATGACTATTTGAAACCCAACCTTGAAATTTTAAACTAAAAATGGTAGAGGCTATTTAGAGTCTGAAAGGGCAGTGGTAAGTGGCGAGAACTGATTTTCCCTGACCCGCAGCAGGCAGATGCGGCAATCTCAGTGCCAGTCCCCCCAGAGCCTCAGCTCATCGGAGGCGCCTCAGAACCCGCTGCTCGGCTTGGCGGCTCCGTGGGTTCTTCCGGGGTGCTCGTGCAGTCTAAGGCTTTCTTTTCTTCCTTATTTTCTTCCTATTACTTTATTATCTCCCCTTCTTGGTCACAAAAATGTTTGTTACGTAGACCATAATATGTAACAAACACATATTTTAAACATTTTTAAAAAGACAGGGTCTCACTCTGCCACCCAGGCTGAAGTGCAGTGGCACAATCCCAGCTCACTGCTGCCTTGAGCTCCTGGGCTGAAGGGATCCTCCAGCCTCATCCTCCTGGGTAGCGGCGACCACAGGTGCCTGCCACCACGCCTGGCTAGCTTGTTACTATTTTGTAGAGATGGGGTTTCCCTGTGTTTCCCAGGCTGGCCTTGAAACACGCGGGCTCCAGCCACCCCCTTGCCTCGGCCTCCGGAAGTGCTGGGATTGCGGGTGTGAGCCACTGCACTCAGCCTAAGTTCCATTTTTGTATTTATCCTATTCTTAGCTTAAAAGCAAAGGATTATACATTTTCTTAGTTTTCCTACGACATAAGGAAGACGTTAACTTAATTGACTGGCTAGTTTCAATAGGCCAGTGACACAAAAAAGGAACTTGACGGGACTGAACATCGCCAGGTGCCTGTGCAGCTGGCCACAGCACGCGGTGACGAAGGGAGTGGCAGGGAGCCTGCCGTGAGGACGCAGTGGTGCAGGAGGCAGCTGGGATCCGCTGTGGAGAGGGGAGGCCAGGGCCTAATCAAACAACCTGGATCTTTCCAAGTTGGTCAATAGGCTACCTGTGACTATTACCTGTGATACTACAAAGAACAGGCCAGGTGAGGTGACTCAGGCCTGTAAACCCAGCACTTTGGGAGGCCGAGGCAGGCAGATCACTAGGTCAAGAGATCGAGACCATCCTGGCCAACATGGTAAAACCCTGTCTCTACTAAAAATATAAAAATTAGCTGGGCGTGGTGGCATATGCCTGTCATCCCAGCTACTCAGGAAGGTGAGGCAGGAGAGTCACTTGAACCTGGGAGGTGGAGGTGGCTGTGAGCCGAGATTGTGCCACTGCACTCCAGCCTGGTGACCAAGCAATACTCCGTCTCAAAAAAAAAAAAAAAAAAAGAACTGAAGATGCAGCTTCTGCAGACAGTAAGGTGATTTCTGTCGGAGTAGGATATAACTAGACCGGCAGGAAGTAACTTAGTTGAAGGACCCAAAAGCCATGCAAGTGCAGTAGCAGCAGGAGATGAGGAGCTGCAGGCTCCGTGCCAGCCGGGACCTGGGAGGCCGCGGCAAATGAGAGGGGGGCTTGACAGTTCATTTGGAAGAAGTGACGGACGAGGATGGAGAGCTGTGGTTCCTCAGCCCTGCAGCCCCTGGCAGCGTGAGACCCAAGCCAACTGCGGCACTGGGGCGGGGTCCGACGAAGATAGAGAAGGCCGCGGGACGGCAAGAGTGACCTTTCCCTGCGCTCTGCCTGCAGCTTCTCTGCAGGCTTTCGAAATTTTATCAAAAAGTTACAAAAAAATCTAAGTGCTATAATGAGTGACTTAATTCCACGCGTATCATCTCATCCAACATCCATAAGCAACTAGAACACCAGAAAAAATACCGCAAACACTTGTTTTCAGACGCTGGGTGCTGGGTATCGTGGGCCTGGGATCCCCAAGAGAAGGGAAATAAACAGCAGGCCCCGAAAACGGCTTGCAAGCGGTTTCAGGCAGGCCCAGGCTGCAGTGTAGAGAAGCTTTCAGTGAACCGGAGACAGAGACCAGGGCTCCGGGGAGGCTGCGGTGCTGAGAGCCTGCAGGGCAGAGTACTGGAGAGGCGAAAGCTTCCAAGGTCTGCAGGGCCCTGGGGTCTTTGACTAAGTATTTACCTGCTCTTGGGTAGAGTGACGACCCATGAGGCAGAGAGAAACCAGCAGGAAGGCAGTAGGCCAAATGCTCAGAGCTCCAAAAAGGACTGAGGGCCGCGCGCGGTGGCTCACGCCTGTAATCCCAGCACTTTGGGAGGCCGAGGCGGGTGGATCACAAGGTCAAGAGATCGAGACCATCCTGGTCAACATGGTGAAACCCCGTCTCTACTAAAAATACAAAAAATCAGCTGGGCATGGTGGCATGTGCCTGTAATCCCAGCTACTCAGGAGGCTGAGGCAGGAGAATTGCCTGAACCCAGGAGGCGGAGGTTGCGATGAGCCAAGATCGCGCCATTGCACTCCAGCCTGGGTAACAAGAGCGAAACTCCGTCTCAAAGAAAAAGAAAAAAAAGGACTGAGAAGAGTTTACAGTCCCCGAAGAGAAAAGACTAAAATCAATGACCTCTGCTTCTACCTTAAGAAGCTAGGAGAAGAAGAGCAAATTAAACTCAAAGTAAGTAGAAGAAAGCAAGCTTTATCAATGAAAACATCAATCAATAAAACGGAAAACAGACAGACAACAGAGAAAAACCAATGATGCCAAAGGCTGGTTCTTTGAAAAGTTCCCTTTAGCTAGAATGGCCATGAACAAGAAACCTTAGCCAGAAGGGTTCTGAATGAGTGAAAAATTACTGCTATCAGACACGGAAGGAAAGTCTGGGTGTGGTGGCTCACGCCTGGAATCCCAGCACTTCAGGAGGCCAAGGTGGGAGGATCACTCGAACTGAGGTGTTAGAGACCAGCTTGGGGAACATATTGAGACCCTGTCTCTATAAAACATTTAAAAATTAGGTGGGTGTGGTGGTGTATACCTGTATTCCCAGCTACTTGGGAGGCTGAGGTGGGAGGACTGCTTGAGCCCAGGAGTTGGAGGCCACAGTGAGCTGTGATCAGGTCACTGGATTCTAGTCTGGACAGAGTGAGATTCTGTCTTAAAAAAAAACAAAACACAGGCACGGTGGCTCACGCTTGTAATCCTAGCACTTTGGAAGGCCGAGGCAGGAGGATCCTTTGAGCCCAGGAGTTTAAGACCAGCCTGGGCAACAAAGGGAGACCCTGTCTCTTATAAATAAATAAGTAAAGAAAGAAAGGAAATGGAAGAAAGGCGAGCACTGTAGCTCACCCCGACAGTACGAGGCTCCCGAAAAATAATGGCAATCCTCACCTGATTCCCTCGACAAGGAGAGTTAACTCCAGCACCCTGCCCACAGGGGGGCTGCACACAGAGTCTGGCGTGTGCTGTACATCTCTCCAGGTTCAAGATGTTTGCTGACGCTCATTTGTTTATTCTCTAAACCGTGGTGTGGACCTGGGCACGCCTGGGGTTCCTCACGTGAATACCGGTGACGGAGCGCCAGAAGCATGGGCGCGGCGGTGAGCGCGCCCGGCACATACCTTGTAAGCGATGCTGTTGAGCACCTTCATGGCCAGGTCCGAGACCTCGGGATAGGGGTCGGCAGCCAGGTGCAGCAGGACTCTCCAGATCTGAGTGTAAACGCTGTTAAAGGAGACGCCTAGAAGAGAGAAACGGGGGACGTTTTAGTAGAAACAGCTGCCGATGGGGCATCGAAGGCGGCTTCGTTTCCTGAAAACTTAACGCTGGTATCAGAATTGTCGCTTTAAAGCGTGGAGGTTACAGGAAGCCGCCGTTTTGTTATTTCGGCAACGGGTCCCAAGATTCAAGAATCCTGGCTGATCACTGGGCTTGGTCACACGAGTTCATCTTCTGAGGCTGAACCTTTCTAAAAGGAAAACTGGGCTGGGAAGGGTATAACTTTCCTTGAAATGTCTCAGCTGATCAGAGGGCATGACTGTACCCCTGGAGGAGTGTCTGATCAGGGAGGGGCATCTGCTCTCAAGATTTCCAGAAGCCTCCGTGGTCCACAGGTAGTGGTGCATGCAGCATGGAGTCTGCGCTGCCCCACGTTCAGCACATGCTGCTGTGCACTGTGACCCGGAGAGCTCTTCCTCCCCACCTACACGTGCTGGCCCTGCTCTGAGATGCTGGGACTTCATGAAAGGTTGATGTGCCTCTCGATGTCCCTAAGCTTCCCCCAACTCATTCAACACTTGATGCAAGGTCCTGTGCTCCATGCTCGGATACAAAGAAAGACAAGGCAGGACCCAGCCGGGACCCGGACTCATTGATAAATAACAACGGTGAGTCGTGGGCCTCGGGGGAAGGGCTGAGGATCCCTGGGTGCCGCTGCTTGGTCCTACCTAATTCCTCAGCAATCCTACAGACAGGTGTCGCCGCAGCGTCACCGAAGAAGGTGAGACCCAGAGGATGAAGGATGTGAACGTACACCTGTCAGACCTTTGAGCCACACCACATCCACGACGCTGCGCGGCCTGAGGGAGACTCAGGAAGGCACCAGATTGACTCCTGTCTGCAGAGGGCTGGGCACATGGAAGAGGCACAAAGGAGGGGAAGGAGGCTCATTCTCTGGGCAAGAGAGGGGTGGAGTGAGGGTGGGGAGCACACACAAGATCTAAGACACTGAGAAACAGGATGTGGAGGTGATGGGGATGTGGAGCCTCAGGGGACACTCGATGGAAGCCTGCAGAAGCAAATCAGAGATTGCGGGGTGGGGGCCGTGAGTGCTTGGAATCCAGAAGGGAGGGGCAGGCACTGGGCCATGTGGGTGCCCGGTGCAGTTAGCACTGGCTGAGACCAGGGAGGAGGCTGACGGAGCAGGGGTCGCAGAACCCAGAGAGGCTGAGAGGGGAAGCAGCAATCCTGGTAGGGTCAGCAGGTCCAGCAAAGGCTGGGCTCATAAGAGGCGCTGAGCATGGAGGGCAGAGTGGGGCCAGGTCGCGCCTCCCTTGTGTGCGGGCGCCAGGAGCACCAGTTACCTACCAGGCTTTGTCCTGGGGGCGGAGGCAGACAGGGCCCTGCCCTTGGCGCTAGGAGTTGAAGGGGTAACTATCCACATAGAACCCCATCTTCTTTATTTTGGGGGAAGCCAGACAATTTGCTGAGAAGCAAGTGCTTGTTCATAGAGGTTCAAAGGATTTGGGCTGTGGCGTGATTCCAGGCCCCCGGAATGTTTGTGGAAGAGCTTAGGCATCGGAAGCCAGCTGAGGACCCGTGTCACTGCAGGAACACAGCTGCGCATGCGGAATGACATGGTCAAGTCCACAGAGATGGAGGCAGGGTGCGAAAGGTAACGGGGTGCGTGGTTCCAGATGCCTGCGACCGCTGGCTCACCTCCACCTACGGCCTCCGCTCCGTGAGCCCAAGACGGGCTCTACTTCAGCTCCATGTATGGCGGCCGGTGTCCCCCCGGCTGTGCACCCCCACCGTGAGTGCAGAGGTCAGGGAAGGAGGCCCCACGAGGAGAGCATGCTGCAGTGAGTGAGTGTCTCCAGGATGGAGCCATGTGGAATTGAGAGCTTCGCTGCCATCCAGGATGTCACGCTCTGCTGCTGCGCTGCCCGCACTGGCGTGAATCGTGAGAGGCTGGGGGCTCTTCCGGGAGCTGACATGTCCCACCCCACAGGGCAACGTTACATCCTTCAAGCGAAGGAAGCATTCTTCCAGGAACACCCTCCCCGAGGGCCTTGCCCATGCACACATGGGCCTGGCAGCCCAGGAGGCAGTGGGGACGTCCTGGGAGCCTTGGGCCCAAGCACACTTGGACTTCGGTGCCACGGCGCCGCAGATGCGCCTTCTGCTCAGCCGTGGCCTGTGCCGCTTGCAGTGGCACAGAACCGAAGCCTCCCAGCTCTCAGAGTGCACAGCTCTGGAACAGCCGTGTGGATTCACAGGCAAGTCCCAGAAGCACAAAATCGGTCCAGACTCTGTGGAAACTCCGTAAACTCTCCGTCTCTTCTGCAGCGGACGCTGGCTCCTGGGAACTGCTCTGTGCCACACAAGGATGTCGGCGATGGCTGCGTCTTCACTTTTTTAAAGAGTGGGCGGGCGGGCTAGGAGATCTGACTTTGAACTCGCCCCCCCCAACAAGCCCTGGTGAGGAGGAGATGTGGCCTCACTGGTGAAGAGGCTCGCTGCCGCCTGGCTCCACAGCACCCCCACCATGAATGGGAGGATGGCCCCGTAAGATGCCTGCTCATGGCCACCCGGCTAAGACCCACCCCCCTTGATTATTCTGGGGTCCTGGGCTCTCCACAGCTGAGTGAGACATTGAAGCAGCTCCCCGTGAGGCTCAGCTGTCAGGTGAAGGGGCTGTGAGGGGACAGCCGCCATATATGAGAACCTTCCTCTCAAGACCTGGGGGCAGGGATGGCCCCTGCAAACAGGGTACCGGGAAGCCCGGAACCCAGGGCTGGTGTGGCAGGAGGCTCCCTGCTCCCGGCGGCCCAGACAGGGTGCACAGAGGGTGCAAGCTGACAGCTGCTCGGGCCTCCCCCACGATGTGGGGGCCACAGATGCAGGCACTGGGGGCCTAGGTCAGGGTTTCACAGGACCCTCTAGGAAAGGATGCTGCCACTCTGCGGGGCACTGCACGGAGCGGGGCTGAGACATATTAGCTGCTACTGTCATCTAAGTTTTAAAAATGGATTTGTATTTGGTTGGCCCTGCAGGGAGGGGCGAGATGTATTAGCTGCCACTGAGGTTTAATTTTTAAAAGCTGATTTTTATTAAGTTGGCCCTCTCCATCCACGGTTCAACCAACCACAGATTGAAAATACTCGAAAACAAAACAAAAAGTAATGAAAATAATAGAACGTGACAGCTGTTTACACACCATCTGCGCTGTATTTAGCATTATAAGGAATCTAGCGGTGATTCAAGCACGGTGGGGGACATGTGGGGGACACATAATGTCATGCCTTTCCTGGCAGGACTGAAAGGCGTGGGCCCTGGGTCCTTGGGGTCCTGGAGTCCCCCACATGTACCGAGGGACGACGCTACTGTTGTCACCTTGCAGATTTTGTCTTTAAATATTAAAGTCAAAATATGGTTTGTGACTCCACGGGAAAAAGATGTGATTTCTGCCGGTGTGTTTTGGCGACAGCGGGTGTCGAGTATGCACTAGTAGAAAGCGTTCGGCTGTGGTTGCAGGGTCGAGTCTATTTCACATCTTTCCTTGTGTTGGTCACAGTCTTCTCTCAGGCTCTGTTATGTCGAATGTCCTGCTTTAGAATCTGCCGGTCCCCAAAACAGACCATACAGAGCTTCCCACGAGATCCAAGTCCACCGGGAAGGAGGCAGGGCCGCCCGGGTCCTGCCTGCAGGGAGTCGGGGCTGAGCTTAGAAAGGGCCCTCGCTGGTACTCACGGAACTCCCCGTGAGTGCAGAGAACCTACTTTCCTGTCTAGACTACAGCAATAAAACATCTGAATGAATGTTTTTTCCAGTTATTTTTCAGAACAATGGCCACAACCTTCCAAACAGCATACAAGCCAAGGAAATCTACTCAGAGCTCTGTGGCCGACTGAATCCCAGAAGCTTCCAGTCCGGCGGAGCAGCTCGGAGAAGACAGAGTGTTTCTGCAGGCGACAGCTGCCAGCCGCCGCTCCACGGCTGGGGGGTCGGCACAGCAGGCTGCGTCTTCGGATGTGCTCACCAGGTCTGTGGGGGCCAAGACCCTCTGCCGTCCTGGGGAACCAGTGCTCCAGGCCGAGGGCTTCTGCAGCGGCCTGTTTCTTGTGACCCCTCCTGTCCCTGGGTGCCCAAGGGTGACTTCTGTCCCCTTGGGGCTGCACCCACGACTCTGTGTGACATTTAGGAGAATCACGCTGACCAGCCGCTCTGCCTTCCCCTCCTCCTGGGCCGGCCAGAGCCGTGGACCCTGCAGCTGTCCACGGGGGAGCAGCACCTCCAGGGCCAGGCGGGCAGCGCGTCCCCTTCGTCTCCCCAGCATGTTCCTCAATGCCCCTGGAGACAAACCTCATAATGACCTCTCACTGACGTTTGCTCTAAAAACATAATTAATCTTGTAGCACTGGAAAACGGTGTTGTTCATTTTCTCACGCTGTCTTCCAACGAGAACGAATCAAATTCCTGGGTCGTGATGCCTTCCTCTCAGGACGCGCGCAGTTCCTTCAGCCACAACCGTGCTTAACTTTCTTCTGGTTGAGCGAGCACCAGTCTCTTTTTCTGCAAAGGCAGAAACCAACACCTTCTCTACCCGAAACCCAGAGCTCAAGGCCCGGCCAGAACTCACTCCTGGGGTCTCCAGAGCTGTGTGCAGGGCTCGTGAAGGACTCTTCCAGCTTCTGGATGCCTCGGAAAAAAGCAAGGAAGCTGGAGTTGTAGGTACTCAAGAGGGTGAGGTGGGAGGTTTGCTCGAGCCCAGGGGTTTGAGGCCAGCCTGGGCAACATAGTGAGACCCCGTCTCTAAGAAACACTAAAAAAACCCCAAAAAACGAAGGGAGAGCAGTTGCTATGGCCTGTCCTGTGAACACCACCGAAGCGGCAGTGCAGCCGGCCGCAGTGTGTGTGGTTACCTCCAAGACGCCTGGGCAGGCCTGGGGTGCAGGGGCTGCCACTGTTTTGTGGGTATCCCAGGGTCTGGGCAGTGCCCTCGTTTCTGGGCTCGGGTAT